TAATCGATCAACTTCTGCGAGACGTGTCACGATGTACATTTAACGTGGGTCTTTGATCAGACCCATAGACATTAAATTGGCGTATAGCTTTCGATTGGCCGTCGCAATTTTGTCGCCACCAGCAGGAATTCAAACGTTCACGGAGGTATATGAATTTTGAATTGCATAGCGTCTAGTGGTCAACAAACTGACAAATAGACACGGTACCACCATGGTGGCCTCTGTACTGTAATAAAGTTGCCGGAACACACAATGTCTGCATGTATCTGACGGCAGGAATAGAAAGGTCGATCGAACCTTCCCATGAGAAGCAAGCGGCCTGGACCCCGGTCATCATTCATCATCCTATTGTTAAGTATGAAGAATATCAGCAATTTATTGGGTAGCGAAATAATTTAAATTAGGTACCATGGGACTAATAGACTCCGTGTCGGAGCGCGACTGTTGACCCTGGGAGATACAAAGGCTAGAAACGTATAAGTTGGTGCTACCACAGAAGGTAGAAGAGACAGCTCACTCGGGGTTCTGCCTCTCAAATAGGCTATGATGCCCCCAGGAAGGCTAGGAATCTCCAGTAAGAGGCCTTGCTAAATCTTGCCAATTGTGTCGGTCGTAAACTCCCCCCAACTTATATGGTATGAGACGGCCTTCGTGTCATCCGATGACCGTTGAAGCGTTAAACCAACTATGGACCGATCAGTAGCCCGAGAACAACTGCTGGTGATGAGATCGAAGTCATCTAGAAGACTGCAGCAAACTAGCTTTACATGATTTGGGGAGAGAAATTAAGATACGCTTGTCGCGTTTACTAGCCTGAGAGGACGGCTGCACAACAGATGTCATGATGGTCGTGGAGAGACGGGCGAGTAGGCAGCGGCGCTAGCGAGTACTTAGCGTCGGTTGCGCGACCTGAACAAAAGTTTCATTTTCCGACGGCTCGTGGTATGCTGCAACCGAGGATGACTACAATGGACCCCCCTACTGGGGCCAGAGCCACAGACTAGACGCAGTCCTTTGTCGAGTCATCCACCTGGATCTTTTTCGTCTTCCCCTCACCAAGTTGATTGGCAGTGTATGCCTGCAATGCTTTCACTGCAACCTGCCCAAATAGTCTTCGTCCTTGGTGACATACCCGTGAGGTTTTGGAGCATCACTTCAAGCGGAGAATCGCCAAGCTCGTTACGAACGGAGAGAACTGTGTCCGTATTAGAAAAAAACAAAGGAGTGATAGAGGTCGCGGAGGTGGGAGAGTAAATGAGGTAGCCATGATCCAATGATACTAGTAGGAGATTGTCTCCGCGGTGGAGGAGGAAGAGTTACGGTAGTACTGTTAAACTGGAGAGATCTGGCGCAAGTGCTTCATGCAGGAGGTGACATAAAACAGGAGCGCGCGCAATTGAACTACACACATCAAAACGATATAGCTCGGTCTGCCACTTTCAAGTCATCCTCGGTCGTATTAGAAGAGCCAACAACCAAAAAGTCTTCAATAAGTCTTCAGCGAGGCTGGTAGTCTGCAGATTACATCAGTTTCAGATTCCTGACTCAGGCTCGAGTCCTTAGCTTGCATGGCCTCCGGCATCATTAACATTTTTCATTTGGTGGTGAATCCCGACGGTTTTGGTCAGTCTGTCAAGAATCTAGGTTGGCACGTACACACCTCGGAAATATATCTTATGTTTCTGAGATGACCCTTGCGGCGTGATAAAAAAAGGAGGTTTCGACGCAATGACTGGACCTAGTTAAGATGGACCCCCGAGAATCTGCACCCAAAAATGTGGTCAGCAGGTTTCGAACCAACTCCAAGAGAAACAGATTTTGGCTCTGTTGCGGTAATAACTTGGCTAAGCCCAGTTGAATGTACCTCCGAGGAAACCATCCATGAGTCAATGTCAAGGTGTGTTCCGATAGAAAAAAAACCGTCGTTCGGCAGGTTTTGAACCTACACAGTCCAAGAGAAACAGATTTTGACTCTGTCGCGGTAAACCACTTGGCTAAGAACAGTGAGATGGACCTCCGAAGAAACCATCCATGAGTGAATGTCAAGTTGTGTTCCGGGAAAAAAACTTGGCGGACTGAGGTTTCAAACCTACGCAGTCCAGGAGACACAGATTTTGGGTCTGTTGCGGTAACCGCTTGGCCAAGACTAGTTGGATGGACTGCCGAGGAAATCATCCATGAGTGAATGTCGAGGTGTGTTCCGATAGAAAAAAAACCGTTATTCGGCAGGTTTTGAACCTGCACAGTCTGAGAGCAACAGATTTTGACTCTGTTGCAGTAACGATGGTCCACTTGGCTAAGACCGGTTAGATGGACCTCGGAGGAAACCATCCATAAGTGAATGTCAAGGTGTGTTCCGGAAAAAAAAACTTGTCAGAGGGAGGTTTCAAACCCACGCAATCCAAGAGAAACAAATTTTGATTTTGTTGTGGTAACCACTTGGCTGAGACCTGTTAAGATGAACATCATGCATGAGTGAATGTCAGGAGTGTTCCGATAGGGGAAAAAAACCTTGTTGTCGATTCGACAGATTTTGATTCTGTTGTGGTAACCTGGCTAACACCAGTCAAGATGGACCTCCAACGAAACCATGAGTGAATCTTGGCACGTTCCGATAGCAAAAACCTTATGATCAACAGGTTTCGAACCTGCACAGGACAGTTCAAGATACAGATTTAGATTCTGTTGTAGGGGTTGAACTACTTCGGCCAGGACGCAGTTGAGATGGCCCTCTGAGGAAACCATTCATGAGGGAATCTTCAAGGTATATTTAGAAAAAAACCTGTCGATCGGCAGGTTTGGAACCTACACAGCCCAAGGGAAACAGATTTTGATTCTGTCGCGACAACCACTTGGCTAAGACCAGTTGGATGGACCTCCGAGGAAACCATCCATGAGTGAATGTCAAGGTGTGTTCCGATAGAAAAAAAACCTTGTCACATTAGCAGGTTTCGAACCTGCGCAATCCAAGGGAAACAGATTTCAATTCTGCTGTGGCAATCGGCAGGTTTGGAACCTACACAGTCCAAGGGAAACAGATTTTGATTCTGTTGTGCTGACCACTCGACCAAGACCAGTTAATAGTATACATCTCCATCGGAACCATCCATGAGTGAATGTCAAGGTGCATTTCGATAGAAAAAAACTTTGTCCTATCAGCAGGTTTCGAACCTGCACAGTCCAAGAGGAACAGACTTCAATTCTGCGGTGTTGATCGGCAGGTTTGGAACCTACACACTCCAAGGGAAACAGATTTTGATTCTGTTCTGGTAACCACTTGACTAAGACCAGTTAATATGCATCTCCAACGAAACCGTCCATGAGTGAATGCCAAGGTGCGTTCCGATAGACAAAAACCTTGTCACATCAGCAGGTTTCGAACCTGCGCAGTTCAAGAGAAACAGATTTCAATTCTGCTATGTTGACCACTTCGGCCAGGACGCTTCCCAAGTTTGAGATGAACCTCCGAAGAACTGGTCAAGGTGAGGGAAAACCATATTTCAAATCTGCAACACCCTTGAGAACAGATTTCTAATCTGCCAGTTAGCTATGATGAGATAGACCTTGAAGGATCCGTCCACGAGTGAATATTTGACTGTTCAAACGTTCAAGGCGTAGTAAAAGAAAAAGATTGTTGAGCAGGTTTCGAACCTTGTCGACAGATTTCTATTCTGTCACCCTTACTACCACTTGACTAAGACTGGTGTCTACGAGTCATGTATTGACAGCAGAATTACGGGGGATTAGCAGTCATTTGCCAATGCAAAATTAAACAAAAAGACTACTTTGCGTTTAATTCGATGGACACAAAAATAAGAATAAGCGAGTAGGGGCTGGCGCCGAGAAGTTAGCCAGTGTCTACAATAATAATGAGTGTAGTATGTACATAATAGCGTAGATCTCCCATAAGTTAATTCAGGGCATCCAGACTCTCCCGTAAGAGTCTTACCCGCTCCTCAACAGCATCCAACGTTGAAGTGATAGAATCCACCTCCGACCTCCAATCACCGCCCACCTGACTCACAAGTACCGACCCATCACCAACAGCCCCACCACCAAAAGACCCAATATTACCTCTCGCCCTCCCAACAGCCAACTCCTCCCAAATCCGAGAAACAATATCCTGCACCCACTTCTCCCTCTCCTCGGTCCTCTTCGCCTCCTTCCTTCTCCCCGCTTCCTCCCTCTGACCCACAAGCATCAATGTCCACAGATTACTAAACACAAGAATAACAATAACGAAATATAAAATCGTCATCGCCGAACTCTGTTCCCAAGCTTCCTTGACAAGTTCAAGCGCTCCAAACGTAGAGCGCGTCGCAACGCCGTAGGCACCGTCAAACGTCTCATACGCCCATTGGAGTCCACGTCTGTTACGTTCGTGTTCGCGTGCCTTACGGGCTGCCGCGTCTGAGATGCCCGAGGAGCCACCGAAGAGAGTGGGGTTCATGGATTCGATTACGGGGCTGAGGGGCTCGACGGGTGCCACGGCTGTTGGGTCTACGCCTGCTGGGATGAATTCGGATTGGTGTTCTTGGATGTACATCCGCATGGCTTTGTCGAGGTCGGAGTGGTATACTTTTTGACCGTCTATTGCTGACTTTTCGATCAGACCTTTGCGTATTGCGAGCGTGAGCACAAGATGTTGTGAGAAGAGAGAATGGCAAACCTTTAATGAAACTTCTCCCAGTCCAATCTACTTGCGTGGTGACGATCACCCGTGTGGAAATAGCGCTTGCCCACATTAAGCATGTCTTCGTCTTGACTGTGAACACGCCTCCGCTAGGTACGTCGGGTGTCTTCGTCGTCGTCAACATCACGACGTGGTCATCAAAGTCACAGGTCAGGGTTTCATCGTGGATCTCGCACTTTGTTTGCTTCGGGCCGACGCTATTATTCAGGGGCTTAATATATGACATATTCCGCGCCAAAAGCTTCAAGTTGTCGCCTGTGGGAATCCAATCCGATATCTGCACATCTGAATGGGAAGCATTAGTACCAGTGATTCGCGGGTAAAGTGAGATGCCACCCACCCATAAGCTTCTGATCCACCCGCATAAAATCCTTGATAAACCCACTCGCAAACATCAGGTTATAAATCTTGTCCGGTGTCCCAGGTAATACTGTTTCTAGCGCGATCTCATTAAGATGCTGTGCATTCTTCGAGCATGCGCAGTGCGTGACTTTGTTTTTGTTAAAGCGAGCCACAGGAGCTGCTTCCTTGCCTCCGCTCGTGACCAGGGGACCTGAAACATCAGAAGTACTAGCGGGCGAAATGATGTTGCCAGACGAGCCGGTTTGACTTAGAGTATCATCAGGACGGGAGAGTCGCCAGATATTGGCGATCACGTCATAAGTCGTATCACGGGAGAGGAACGAGGCAAAGGTGTATTTTGCCTGTCGGGTGGTTATCTGGATGGCATTGGGGATGACAAATGCTGTCATCTTCTTCTCGAGAGCGGTTATTTCGTATATTGGGATTGACAGCTGTGGGGGTATCATTTAGTTTGCGAGAATGTATAACTGCGTGTAACGTACGTCGGTGATCCACCCGAAAATGTTCGCATGGAAACATATGTGGTTCTCTGAGATGTATATCCGGCCTTGGATGAGGATCTCGCGCTGTAATGCGCACCCATAATCTACAAGATATGAAGCAGATATTTGACATTTTCAAAATGGGACAAACCTTCAATGAGATAATCGCCTTCGGGAATACTAGGGAACAACTCGTGGAAGTCTGCATTACGCTTGCTGCTTGCAACGGCGAAACCCGTGACGGGAATATCTTCATTAATATCAAGTTCGTCATCTGACCCCTCGCTCTCTTCGCTGGAAGCAAACGTGTCTGTCTGGCCGTCTGAAAAGTCATCTCGACTGGACAAGGGGTGCCTCGTGCGAGCGCTGGCATCGACAGGACTGGGCATAGACGTCACGGAGGCAGAAGCGGCATACTGCATCGCAGAGCGAGCGGAACCATTTGATCTGACCGTTCCATTGGTAACTTTTTTTGATGCCGAATTTGAAAGAGGAGAAACAGGGGAGATTTGAGAACCAGTATTGGACATGGTGAGACTAGAAGCGGCTGTAGCAGGAGCAACACCAGGATGTTTGCGAGTGGGAGTAGTGAGTGAAGGACGACGCCAACCTTTCTTCTTCTTTGAAGCTGAGCTATTAGCTGAACGGATGGATCTTGCGTCGGCGTCGGTGAGGGTAGGTAAAAGCTCCTGTTGATGATGGGTGCCTCTTTGGGCATGGCTTATTGCGGTGGGTGAGTCCACGAGGCCATTTTCAATTATGACGGCATTGTGTTCGTGGCGACCAGTTCGCCGGTGCGTATCGGAACGAGTATTACTCTGGGAGTGATCGAAATCGAGTGGAGCTGGGGGCTGTGTCCTATTGCGTAGTGACTTCTTTGAGGGAGTTCTATCGACCACCTTGTGAGTATTTGAAGGATGAGTGTTGGTGCGCTTGTCTATAAGGGCTTTCAGGTTCCCGGTGGACGATGCAGGTGTCAGCTGATGAGAGGCTTTGGGTGAGCTGTCAGCGCTTGTCTTCCATTCTTCAGGACGAGAACGAGAGGGGGTTGGAGTTGGAAGCATGTCATCTGTGGACAAAGAGGAGTCACTTGTCATGGGACGAGCAGCGAAGGATAAAGCATGTCTATCTGGGACCATCCTGTCCTGTGAGCGGGCACGTCGATGTTGAGATGTATCAGGAGGGTGGTCTTGCGAAGGAGGATCAGGAAAAGTAGAGAGGGCTGAACGAGGGGAAGGTGGAATTATACCAATTTTGACACTGCCTTTTGTACTAGAATTGTCACTGGCTGGGTCAGGAAGAGATGGGTGTGAAGTATTTTGAGAATGTGGAGGTGCGTGAATGTTTTGACGGGATGGAGCAGTCGTATTCTCTCTTCCGCTCGGAGATGAAGACGTACTAGGTTTCACGAGCTTTGAAAAGAAGTTGGGTGCCATGGTCTAGCTAATAGGAGCTATTAGCGAC